AGATTCAAAAATCCATTGTCAGGGGTCATGAAGAAGGGGGAAGACTATGAATCAATAATTTTTCTTCTCATTTAAATTAAGTTTCTCCTAACAAAGAAGCAACATTTTTCCAATAACTTAATTTTCTTGTGAAAGCATAGTGTAGTGTTCAAAAAATCATTTATTTTTTCATTTATTTTTAGATCGAAAATATACTTAATTACAATAAGTTCTTAATGAAATGAGTTACATACAAACCCAACCTAAACTAACTCACCCAAACCATGCTCATTCTAACACAAATCACGCCCAAACCCTAACATGTGTTTCTCTTCTCTTTCCTCTGAAAAATATTGATAATGAATACGTATGATATTGCACGACATTTGTGGGTGAAATTGTCCACGCTTGTCCATGAAAATAGTTTTAAGGATTTCATGTAAAATAAAGATAGTAAAACTCTTGCACCTACCATTCTACACAGGGAAGAGATTAATGAAAAAAAATATCAGAGAAGAATACAATATATCACAGCGAAAGTGAAGAGAACAAAAAATAGATATTTTGACAATAATTAATTACTGATTCCATCATCTATTTTTTACTGCCTCGTTATTCTACACACTTTATGATTTTATACTCTACAATAATTCTATTTTATTAAGCTTAACAATTTTCCTCTTTTTATATACTTGTTTTGATTTTTTTTTATTTATATATGTCATTAATAATTATTAATAAAAATTTCATTAAATAACAATGAGAATAAAATATTAAATTTTAAAAATATAATTAAATAATATGTTAATTGGTAAATATTATTGTAAATATTTATTAAGCATATTAAATAATTTAAATTTTTATTTTCAAATTAAATAAACTAATATTTAGTTGTACGTCAGTAAAAGTTAAACATTTGATATTAAAAAAATTCTTAATTTATAATAGAATAATTATTTCATAATAATGAAATCACATAAGAATACCAAAACTATTTGACAACCAATAATAACATAACAAGTTGTATGAGTGGTACCACATTCAACATGTTGAAAAATATTTAACTATGTTTAATCCACCAATCGTTTAATTATTTTCAACACTACTATACTATTGATTCAACAATCCTATTAAAGGTTCAAAAGTCCATTGTAAGTGGTCATGAAAATGGAAGACCATGAATCAACAGTTTTCTAATCTAACTTATTTTTTTCTGACAATGAAACGCCATTTTTCTTCTTCTAATAACTTAATTTTCTTGTGAAAGCACAATGCAGTGTTCAAATAAATCATTTTCCTTTATTTTAAAATGAAAAGCATGGACAGTTACAAAAAAAACAATAGTCCTTGATGAATTTACTTATCTACACATCCAACCAAATCTGGTCCACCCGACCCATGCCTAATCAGATCGAACTCGAATCACTCCATAACCCTAGCATATGTTTCCCCTCCCATATGTTTTTTTTTTAAATATATAAATCTCTCGCGACACTCTAAACCGGAAAAATCACTCTCATGCGAATGTGATTGGATTTTTTTTTTTTGTCATCAACATATACAGACTCTAAATAGACTCAGCTAACCAAACTGGTGCTTCCACATCCATATGAACTACATACGAAGATTTCTCTCTGGCACTCCGTGCTAGACTGTCCGCCTTTGTATTTTGAGTTCTGGAAAGATGGATAATATCCATATGTATGAAGCTCTCCTTTAGAATCCTGATGTCTTCGAGATAATTTGCAAACGCCGGCCATTCCTCTGGTGCAGAAACCATCCTTACCAGTTGAATACAATCCGTCGCAAAAGTGACGTGTGTTTGGCGCAGATTCCTCATACTTTCCATCGCCCAAATGAAGGCTTCTATTTCCGAATATAAGGCCGAAAGAGACGCTCTCGTATTCCTTGCCCCCATTAAACCCTGGAACCCGGAAGAGTACTATACCAACCCTGTCCCGAGAAAGTTTCATGTGCCTTCCACGATCCATCAGTAAAGCACCAACGACCCGGTAGATGTGGTAACCTAAACTCATAATGATAATGATTGGATTAAAAATTGATAACAAACTGATAATGATTGCAAAGGATACTGCGAACATTCATGTGCGGAGTGCGTCCATACTTATTCTTGAATTTTCTTTTGGGGATTTCGTGTAAAGTAAATTTAGTATAACTCTCGCTTACTACACAAAGAGGATATTAATGGATAAATGTTAAAAGGTCATCAAAGGAGATTGATAGGAGAAGATTGCAATATATTGCAGTGAAAGTCGGGAGAAAAAAAAATACTTTGTCTGTAATTGAAAATTGACCCTTCATATTCTTCTTCTCACTTCTTTTCTAATATTTCCCACTTAATATCAATAATCATATTGATATTCATCACAATAGGTTTTGTTTTTTAACAGCCCACATCATCTACTCTTTCATTTACCTTATTATTTAACACATATTAAGTTTTATACTCAACAATAATCATTTTCAATAAATCAACACTATGCCTCTTTTTTATATACTTGTTTTCATTTTGGACAACATTTTTCATTTTTCATACTTGTTTTAATTTAGGTTTTATTTTTATATTCATTAATTATTAACAATTACTAATTAATATTTCATTAAATAAAATTAATTTTTTGTAAAAAATAGAAATGATATACTTTGAAGTAATAAAAAACTTATTGTTAAGATTTATTGAGCATATAAAATATTTAAACATTATTTGCAAATTAAGTAAACTAATCTTTAGTTTTACATTAATAAAAAAATTAAATTTTATACTAAAATAATAATAAAATAATTTACTATAGAATAATTAGTTTATAACAATGAAATCAAATAAGAATACCAATAATAACACAAGAAGTTGTATCTGTGGTACCACATTTTATTCATTCACCATGTTAAAAAGTATTAATTATATTAATCAACCTAATCATTTAATTCTTTTCTACACTATTATTGCATTAATTCAACAATTCGATTAAAGATTAGAAAGTCCATAAATTAAGTTCAAAAAAAAAGATTTAGAATTCCATTGTAAGTGGTTATGAGGAAGGGGGATAAAACAACAATTTTTGTTTAATTTTAACTTAATTTTATTCTAACAACAAAACGATATTATGTCTTTTAATAACTTAATTTTCTTGTGAAAGTACTGTGTAATCTTCAAATAAATCCTTTTAATTTATTTTTAAATAAGAACATGGTTACAAAAAGTTCTTCATGAATTTACTTATCTACACATCTAACCTAAGCTAACCCACTCTAGTCATGGCCAATCAGATCTACGCTGGTCCCTCCTTAACCTAGCATGTGTTTATATTCCCTTTCCTCAAAAAAAAAATTGATCTCTCTTGCAAAACTAATAATCAATGCAGGGGATATTGCTAGACATTCATGGGCGACGTGCGTCCATACTTATTCATGAAAGTTTTTTCAGGGAAGTCGGGTAAAGTAAAGCTAATATAACTCTCGCATAACATTATTCACAGTAACAGATTAATAAAGAAATGTCATAAAGTCATCGAGAGAGATTTACAGGAGAAGAAAGCAATATATAACAGCGAAAGTCGAGAGTAAAAAAAAAGATACTTTGACAGTAACTGATGATTGAGTCTTCTTCTTCATACTTTTTCTTATATCTCTCCCTCTTACTCAACAATGGTTTTGATATTTAACACACTGTCTTCTACTTTTAACATTTCACATCATTTTATATTTCTGCTACCTTATTATTTAATAAATATTCAGTTTATATTCTACAAAAAAAAACTATTTAATAAAATTCAACATTATGCATTTCTATATAGTTATTTTCATTTGTGTTTTATTATTATTATTATTATATGTTATTAATAATTATTAATCAAGATTTATTTTAAGAAAATAAAATACAAAAATGTTAAATATATAATTAATAAAATTTGAAGTGGTAAAAATTACTGTTAAGAATTACTTAACATAGAAAGAATTTTTCCAAAACTAATAAACATTGTCTTTAGTTGTACATTATAGATTCAAAAGTAAGATTAAAGATTCAAAACTCCATTGTAAGTGGTTGTGAAGAATAGAAAAATCATAAAAGCGAAAGTTTTTCTTCTAAACTAATAAGTAACTAACTTAATTTTCTTCTCACAATGAAACAACATTTTTCTTCTAATAATTTAATTTTCTTGTCTAAGCACCGGGTAATGTTCAAATAAATCTTAGACTAGATAATAGTCACGCTGATGATATTCCACTTTGGTAACAGAAAATAGAGAAGTTTGAGAAGAGATTCTCTTCCAAGAAAACCTAGTTGCAAGTGAGACAAGCCTAGCAACCTTGCATTTGGAGCAAAGGAATATGGTTCCTTCAATCCACTCCGAAGTATTCCTTCCTCCTCTGGGTCGCATTACGCAATCGATGGCAAACCTGCGATCGAATGCAAATGTGGAATACAACCATTGACAAGACGTGTGTACTATGTAATGAAGCTGATGAGACTTGTCACCATATTTTCTTCAGCAGTCATTACACAAAGGAGATTTGGAAGACTCTTGTTGGGGGCATTTTGCAAGGGAACTTCACTATAGACTGGAATGAGATTGTTGAGATGATCTCCAAACCAACACTCACTCCCACAATGACTTTCCTACTTTACTACACTTTCCAAGCGACGGTACATACGATATGGAGAGAACACAACTCACGTAGGCATAAGGAACAGCCACAACATGTGAGATGTCTCATCAAATTTGTGGATAAGACAGTCTGGCTTAGACTGCTATCAGTACAAGGGCAGGGTCACAAATATTTGGAGGAGGGATTTGTCGCCTGGTTTGGGACGCGACATGAATAATAGAATCCATTCTTTGATTTTTGAATCTTTTGGGTTTTTTTAAGCTTTATAGCATATAGAAGAAGTACTTGATGTACAAAAGTTTGATTGAATAAAGTTTTACATTCATTCGGAAAAAAATGTTCAAATAAATAATTTTCATTAATTTTTTTAAATAAATACATGGCTAATTACAACAAGTTCTAAATGGATTTCTTTGTCTAAAGATCTAAGAGCATGAACATTGGTAAACTTTAAAGTTCGATTCCCAATGCTCCAATTTTAATTATTTAATTGATTTTTTCGATAGATTTTTTTTTCTAAAAAAAATTAATAATGGTCGAATCATGGCCCGCCACATGGTGAAACAGTGACGATCCGATATCACCGCAGCGAGTTCACGCGACACGGGTTCAACCGAATCAGATTATTTAATATATTTTTTTTTTGGGAACTGTGTAGATTTTTCTTCTGAACCCGCAATTGACATGGCCTAACATAAGTTAACCCACCCGAACCAAACCTAGTCGATTTTAACCCGGATCCCTCCCTAACTCTTATTTTTCTTTCCATTCCACAAAAAATATATCTCTCTTTCCTTTCCACAAAAAATATATCTCTCTCAGCCGATACTCTAAACCTACAAAAAAACAACAATTTCCTCTATACCGTGTTCATCTCTAACCCTACAAAAAAAAAAACAACAATTTCCTCTCTTCCGTGTTCATCTTCTCTTGAAGCCCTTGAAATCATGTTTCCTCCTTGTTCGAAATGCCAGCTCCCTCTTCAACAGTCTCATTCAAAATGCCATTACTTTGCCCTCCATCCTTCTCATCGCATGTCAGAACCTATCTCTCGCCACCAACTAGGATTCTCGATCGAAGAAATAGGGCGTGAGATACGTGAAGGCAGGTCTGACATCTGTTCATGTTTTGTCGAATTAAAATGTGAATCTCTTGTTCTCCCCAGTTTGAAAATAAAACTGTTAATTGAAGCTATTTAGATGGTTCTTGAGATTGTATACAATGATCGACATGGCCGTCTGAAAAATTTGAGTATATTTTAGTTGACAATTTACAAATTACAAGTGGTAAAAAGTAGGCTCGTAGAAGAGATGTTTACAAGTGTTTCAATCATCATCAACACTGAAATCAGGCTCTGATGGCTTCGGAGGAAGCAAAGGCAGCGTATTGTGCTGACGCAGATTGCGAAGCGCGTTTGACGCGAACCGCGACGCATATAACGTCGCAACAAGACTAGACGACGATGCAGCTCTACGTTCGCGTTTTGCAACCGCGTTTCGGAAGCGATCTTCTTCCTCCGTTAATGACCTAGCCAATCTTCTCCGACAATGTCTCCGCCACGCCGCTTGTATAAATGATGCTCCCCATGTCCTCCATTGTACCGAATAAAACCTGACAATTAACCAATCCAAACCAAATTAAACCAAACAGAACCGATAAGCAGATCGGTCAATTAATATTAGAGTAAACCTGAGACTTCAACCAATTCAAACCAAATTAAACCAAATAGAACCAAGAATCAGATCGTCCAGATTAATATAAAAACCAAACCCGAAATATTAACTAACCCAAACCGTATTAAACCAAACGGAACCGAGAACCAGATCGGTCAAATTAATATACAAGTCCAAACCTGAGACTTTAACCAATCCAAACCGAATCAAACCGGATATAGGAGAAGCAGATCGGTTAAATTAATAAATAGACCAAACCTGAAAGTATGTTGAAGCTGTTTGCTATGGAGCCGTCTGAACTGCGAGGCGACAAGCTTGAGATCTTCTGCTGCAAGAGCAAAGGCTTCTACTTCAGTTAAAGCTTGAACTGTCCTCGTTGATATCGGATAATGAGATGAAGCTTGAGGATCCAACGCCCACGTGAGAAGATCTTCGCCGCAGAAGTCGCTAGCTTTGAGGTACACGGCGTTGAAGAATCCCGTCCGGCCACCGTTCGTGGTGGCACTCATCAGCTTCCCTCTCATAACAAACAACATTTCCTCCACTGGGTCTCCTTCTCTAATAGCGTAGCTGTTCTCTGTGTAGAGTACTGGCTTCAGCTTGTCACACACGGCATCTAGGAGCTGCTCGTCCATTATCTCGAACAGAGGTACCTTCACCACAAGAATTGTATCAAAGATTAGTTCTTTCTATCAGTGGAAGATGAAAGAGTAGGCATGTGCATTTTACCGAGATCCGGAAAACCGAACAAAACAAGAAAAAATAACAACTGAGTTAGAACTCACAAATATCCGAATAATTCATATATTTCTATGTTAACATCCTAACCCAAAATTTTGAATATCCGAACGGAAATGGAATCGGAAATGAGAACCGAGTGGATACCTGAATAATCCAAATTGTCTTATTCTTATCTATACCATCAATATATCACCTGAATTACCAGACTGTTTTACCCGATATTTTAGCCAAATTACTCGAAAAGTCGAAGCGAAATGGACTAATCTTAGTCCAAATATTTTCTGGATGCTAACCTGTTCCAGGTTTTATTAAAGGAACCGGAAGCAAGGACTACCCGAACTGATTCGAACCAAATTTCCTAGGTTCTTAAATGGATCATAAACTCCCTAACATGAACTACATGATATCCAAAATAACCAATCCAATCCGAACCAAATAACTATCAGAAATGCCCAGGCCTATGGGAGAAAGAAGCTTACTTTCTTGAGGAGGTCGAGGCAAAAATGGCGTTTAATGTCTCTTCTGAGGTCTTTAGGGAGGTTACGCAGAAGGTTTTCTTCTTCAACTCCTCTGGTTTCTTGCCATTTGTATTGTTCATACTTTCTGATACGTTTCCTCAGGTCCTCTGGTAACATCCGATGAGCCATCCATTGCTCTGCATCTCGTTTCCTCACTCTCATCTCTTCTTCTCGAACTGTTGTTGATTCCAAATATTTCTGCAGTGCAAAGTGGAAACATGAGTATCTTATGTTCCTTGTGACTTAAGTAAGGCAGTGAAAAGGAGTGGTTTCAAAAGGTTATTTTTTATTATGGTTTTGACCTGCATGTTACCGATAAGTAGTGCGAATAGGACTAGTCCAGAGATGCAAATTGATACAGCAAAGATGATTTCTCCAACGAATTTGCTCGTGTTGAGGTTTTGTCCCAGTGCACTGCAATGAAAACAGCAAGTGATCAGATCAGTACATATGTGACTAATGATGCAACTAGGTGTTCATAGACTGAGTCACATGACTCCTATACTTGCATAAAAATGGAAATAAGAGGCTTGAAATGGAGCTAGAGACCTTAGATTACGCAGACCCCACCAGAAGCAGTAAAAGAACTTCTTCCAAAAATCATCTGACTCAACAATGCCACTCTTGAGAGCATCAGTGAAGATACCAAAGTTAAAGACAGTCGAATTCGTTATATCATCAGGGTTGGTAAAGGGGCACGAAGTAGTCAGGTAGTCATTTACAACGCTGCTGTTTTCATCGCAGTAAAGAAACCTAAAGTCACAACCTTCTGGTCTCTTCTCACAAGCTTCACGCCAGCATCTGTCTTCTCGTTCCACTGATATTAAGTACCACAAAGCTCCAAACACCTACATAAGTAAGTTATCAGATTAAACTTGATGAAACATGAACAAAGGTTATGCTGTAGGCCTGAGGTTTCAGTTTTTTGGTTCATGTTTTAGTTTCAGATAATTTGGTTCGGCCATTATCCGACCGAAATGAGCTAAAAGTATTTGTTTGGTTCGGTTTTAGGTTAATTTTGGTTTCATACTTTCTCAGAAAATAACCGATTTTTGAGATTTTGGTTAGATTTCGATCGGTATAATTTAAAAAGAAAAAAATGGTTAATTTTGGTTATTTTAGGTTAGTTCGGTTGAGGTGTTTCAGTATTTTTTCGGATTTTTGGTTGTTTTTTTAAAAAAAATTAAAAATCGAAGAAAACCAAAAACCGAATTATTTTTCAAAATCTTACCAAACTAAACTGCACTCAAAACCGTAACTGAAACCGAAAACCGAAAATTTTAGTTTGGTTCGGATAAAATCCACGAGCCTACACTCTGGTGACTGGGAAACTCACATGACTGGCTAACATGTAGAGAGAGAGGTTCCAAGCAGCTCCACCCCAAGCTGTTTCAGTGACTATGCCTGATGTTCTTGTGACTTCACTGTAAAGTGGGTATATACGAAGAATCCTTGGAATGTACTGAGAAAATATGACAGCCATCAGGTAGTCTTTAGTGATCAAAGAGACCGGCTTGTTCACGTTGGGGATAACAGCTAACACTACAAGCTGGAGAAGCAAGAAACAAACAGAACTTTAATGACTTATACCATAACCAACTTAAGGGTTCAGTAGTTACTTGTTTTACCTGTGGGAGGGGAAGGATAGAGAGAACATCGATGATGAAGTAGGAGGAGAGATACTTTATAGCTATGGCTTTAGGATCTTCAACCAACTCCCCTCTTCCGAAAACCCGGGACAAAGGAGAGACATAAGCTGTCCTAAACTGAAACACAATGTGAATAATGTAGAAAGCATCTACAAATGTTCTAAGCACACTAGCTGCAATCTCCAAGCTAGAGTGCAACTTAAGACAGTGCCTTTCTCCATCAACGATAGGAATATAGAAAAACAAGGGATCAATGGCGAGAGCGATGACAGAAGCAAAGAGAAAGATCTTGTTCCAGTTCTGAAGAAAAGAGCCTTGTGGGTTTATGATGTTCTTCTTCTGTGTTCCACTAGAGTTTCTCTTCTCTTCTTTCTTATGTGAATTAAAACTCATTGGTTTCTTGAAGCTCCTGATCTTGTCTGATCCTTTCTCAAACCCTCTACGGACATTATCCAACACTGAGGTTATAGATGGTCTAGCTTTCCTTCCATAGCCAAACTCTGTCTCTTTTGACCTAAACACAAATCATCAGCAAACACATAGTTAATAACTTTAGACCATTATAGATGTAATCATAACATATCCAAACATATACGAGCAAGCATACGAACCTTACACGATTGTCATGGCCCAAACCCATAAAGTCAAAAGTTGGTACTCTTCTCCTGAATCATAAGAACAAGATTTCATATCATATACAAATCAAACAAAGAAGAAGAAGAAACGGAAACTAGAAATCAAACGTTTGAACCGGTGATCTCAGAAACTTACCAAAAGTAACTGATTTCTGATGAGTGAGAAGCGGTTAAGAAAATTAAAAGAGTATGAAGTTTTGTCTCTGATGAAGTTAGTCTGAAGATTTCTTGAAATTTAGAAGGCTCTGAAATTTTCTTGCCAAGTCGTCTTCTTGGTCAAGCTTGGTATGGCGCTGGTAAAAATAGACCAATCTTAGCAGTTTCTTCGAAATTGGAGTATTCCATTACAGGACAAGAGAGAGGGAAAAGGTGCAATATTATACGCCAGATAAAAAGAAATTATAAAGAAAACGTTTTGGATTTGTTAAAAAAATATAAAAGAGAAGACTGAGTCAAACTAAGTAAGCCGAAATTATTTTATGGGCTTAGCCTTAATTAAAGGCCTTCTAAGTTTGTCTAATCAGATCATTCAAATCAAAGGCCCATTTTCTCTATATCTGCCTTAATTAAAGGCCCACTAAGTCTGTTTAATCGATTTGACTCTGTGATCCGGTTCGGTTTTATTTCCGGTTTATAAAGCTTTTGTCTGTAGTCTCTGACAACAGTTCTTATCCGTTCGGCCCTTTATGATGACATCTAGCTAAGATCCAATGTAAGATTCTCCCAAGATTCTATCCACTTTCCAAAGAAAGATAAAAATATTTCAAGTAGACAGATGTTAATTAAAAATTAATAAATATATAGATCATTTTAAGGAAAAAGCTTATCTGAACGGATAAGATAGATTCACACGTGATAAAAGTCAGCTTATCCAAAAAAATAAGAGAGGACAAACCAATAAAACACCAACACGTAGGATTTGTCGGTTCATATGTCGGTGTGTGTTCGTTGTTGATTTTTTAGACCAACTAACCAGAAAAACAAAGATTAAAAAAATAATTATAAAAGCTAAATTTATTCATTCTCCTCCTTTCCTCTCTACCTTATCCTCTTCCCCAAAAACCAGACAAGAGATTGAGATGGAGGAGATGATGATCGTAGACGAGACACAGATGTACGGAGCTCTTGTCACGGCGCAGTACGCACGGTTGCATCATCGTCATCACTGCAGAGAGAATCAGTGTACCTCTGTTCTCGTCAAATACATCAAAGCCCCTGTTCATCTCGTAAGCGCTTCAATCTCGTAATCAGACCTAGTAGTAGTAGTGTTCTTGTGGTAACTAACGATGGTTTCATATATTACATGAACTCAGGTTTGGTCACTTGTCCGAAGATTTGATCAGCCTCAGAAATACAAACCGTTTGTAAGCAGGTGTACAGTTCATGGTCATCCTGAGATCGGTAGTCTCAGAGAAGTTAATGTTAAATCTGGTCTTCCTGCGACGACTAGTACCGAGAGATTGGAACAGCTTGATGATGATGAACGTATTCTCGGTATCAATATCGTTGGTGGTGATCATAGACTTAAGGTAAACTCTCAATTCATCATAGCTTTTTTTTTGCAGATTCAGAAGAGATTATAATGAAATGATTCTTTTTTCCTCTGCAGAATTACTCTTCGATCTTGACTGTACATCCTGAGATGATCGATGGGAGAGCAGGAACGATGGTGATTGAGTCTTTTGTTGTGGATGTTCCTCAAGGCAACACCAAAGATGAGACTTGTTACTTCGTGGAAGCGCTTATTAAGTGTAACTTGAAGTCTTTGGCTTGTGTCTCTGAAAGATTGGCTGCTCAGGATATTACTAATCCCATCGCTACCACCTTGTGAAGAAAGATCAGTTAAGGAAGGGAAAGATCCAGTGTGATTAACTCTTTAGTGTGGTCATGTGTATAGAGAAGCACTCATGTTCTGAGTGCTGTGTTTAGATCAACTCCTAAGGCCATTTTGAGCCTGTGGTGAAGTTTTGATGTAAAGTGCTTTCTGGTGTTTGTTGGACAGTGTCTGTGTAATCATGCACCATTGTAAGAAAAAAAACAGTGCTAGTTAGTATATATATATATATATATATATATTATCACCAGTGGAGTCACTGCAGGAACATTTGAGACCTTTTTATTAAACAACCTCGCTGTTTCTCAAAACCGTTGTGTATCTTGCTAGGGTGTAGTAATCAGAACATATACTATGAGTTCTTGACCACTCTCATAGGATCTAAGCCTTTCTCTTTGATGAGGCTATACGTTATAGCTAATTTCTTTGTATGATTCATAAGCAATTCTCTTTCTCATTATCAAAAGATTGTTCTTACAACATAGCAACATCATACAAAAAAAAACTTATAATAGTATTCAAGAGCTACTTTAAGCTATTAGTGTTTCATCTTGCAGAATAATAAAAGGTAAAACAATTTCTCATGGAACTAGTTCTGTAATGATCCACCACTTTTCCCTTGGACTACCATCAGGGAACACAAGAGTAAGTTCCTTCCTTCTAGGACTACTTGAAGGACTCAATCCAACCTTCATCAAAGTTAGGAGGCACATCATCTTCTCCTTCTTCAACAGTCCAGTCACCTTCATCATCAGTGCTGCTTTCCAAGTAACCATCCACGCCAGACCATTCTTCATCACTTTCTTCTTCCTCCTCACCCGCTGCATCGTTTCCTGATAAGCCGCAACATCGTTACGTGAGGAGGAATAAGAGATCGTTGTTGGGAGAAGAGTCGCGGGTAATTCAAGATAATTTGAATTGTGGAGAAGACTCTGTTTCGAACCGAGGGACCGAGAATTAAAAAAGAATGGAAAGACTCGAGCTGAAGTGGAGGGTGTGCCGTTACAAGACCGTTGAGAGTTTATATAAAGAAAAGAGATTCATTTTGTAAAGACTGAGCTTTGTATTTTGGATTGAGACATTTCGTCTTGAGGAGAATTCGTGTGGGTTAGGCCAACGATTCTCGATTGATTCTTAATACAAAGTTCAATTCATTGATTCGATCGTTTTCTTGTACTTGTGATTGAGTTTGTGAAGTTACAGGATCTAAACTCTATCAATTGGTGCGGTGAGCGAGTTCGCGATGTCCTTGATCGAAGAATCCGATGGCCGTATGGAGTTTCTGGAGCGATCGGCGATGGAAACGGAGAAGACAGTCAAGGTGATATACGATGGATGGAGGAAGCTAACGGAGGCGAATAACCAATCTGACGAGCGAATCGGGGCGGTGGAATCTCGTTTGAGCTCCGTTGAGTTTCAATTGGAAAAGATCGCGGCGGCGATTGGAAGGATTGAATCTAACACGGTATCTTCAAAGCCTCACGGAAAAGATATCGCAGGACCTTCGGGTACTCAGGTACGCGATTCTATTTCTGAATCGGAGGATCTACCGTTAGGGAATCGGAGGAATATAGATATGTTTGCTAGTCGTGCGAGTTTGTTGAAGAAGATTGAACTTCCGACTTTCGACGGATTGTTACCGTATAGTTGGATTCGTAATGTGGAACGCTATTTCTGAGCTGCTCAATATAGTGATCAAGAAAAGCTGGAATTAGTGGTTCTGAGTTTGACGGGGGAGGTTTTGAACTGGTATTTGTGGGAGGTCGAAGAGGAGACGTTTGAGAGCTGGTTCCAGTTTAAGCAGAGAATGCTTGAGCGATTTGCAGAATCCATTGATGATGAGCCACGTAACCGTCTATGTACTCTGAAACAGACGGGTTCCGTATGGCAATACGTCCAGGAATTTGAAGAATTAATTACTCAAGTGAAAGGCATTGATGAACCTAACCTGATAAGCAAGTTCTATACCGGTTTGAAACAGGAGATGAAGGAGGTCATCAAACTCAAAGAACCTAAGGGGTTGCGCAATCACATTGCTGCAGTGGTTAAAATGGAGAGTAGTACCTTTTGTCATGTTATGGGGGGACGTGTGCAACCAAGACAAAACGAGTATAATACTCAAGCTGCTCGACAACAGAGGCCAAATACACGTTTACCTCTGCTCGACGATAAAAATAGGCAGCAAGACGTGCACAAGAACTTACCTCAAAGACCAAGATTACATTTATCTCCAACTGAGTTAGCTGAGTTGAAGAGGTTAAAGTTGTGTTTTCAATGTAAGTCGAAATGGTTCCGAGGTCATGTGTGTGCCAATCCAGAACTCCAAATTCTGGTTTTGTGTGATGGAGTGGAGGTTGAGGTGTTGCAGGAGGTATATGAGGATGATGTGGTAGAGGAAGTGTTGGAGGAAGTTAGGGAGCAACCACAAATGATGGAGATATCATTGAACGCTTTTCTCGGTATCGATTCTCCAACGACTACCAAGTTACGTGGTGTGCTCGAAGGCTCTAAGTTGGTGGTGTTGATTGACAGTGGCGCAACCCATAACTTTGTCACCCCAGAGTTCGCTAAGAAAGCCGGTTTGACAGTTCATACAAACTCTGGTTGGCAGGTGATTTTGGGTAATGGAGTTACTACTCTGTCAGGAGGATTGTGTAAAGGTGCGAAACTAGAGTTGCAAGGCCTTGAGTTTACAATATATTGTATTACTCTGGATCTTGGCAAAGTGGATTTGGTGTTGGGAGTGCAGTGGTTACGCACCTTGGGGAAGTGTGAGATAGATTGGATTACTCAAGAATGGAATTTTTGCTATCAAGGGAAGAGAGCACAATTAAATGGTGAATTTGATCTACACCAACCTGGTAGCTCCTTTCAATCTTTGTCGACGGAGGTGTTACTTGAGCAACAAGATGTGTCACATGTCATACCAGCCTCCATAAGCAAGGTATTGTGCTCGTATGACCATGTGTTTGCTAAGCCCCAAGGCCTTCCTCCTGTACGTGGTCGAGAACATGCTATTACCTTAAAAGCAGGCACTACGGCTATCAACGTCAGACCTTACCGTTACCCACAGGCTCATAAAGAGGCAATGACAGTGATGGTGGAAGAGATGTTAGAGAAAGGTCTGATCAGAGCTAGTCGAAGCCCTTTTTCAAGCCCGGTGTTGTTGGTCAAGAAACAGGACAAATCTTGGCGTTTTTGTGTGGATTACCGCGCTTTAAACCAGGAAACCGTGGCAGACAAGTTTCCAATCCCAATGATAGATCAACTCCTTGATGAGCTACATGGGGCACAGATCTTCTCAAGATGGATCTCACGGCTGGTTTTCATCAAATTCGAATGGAGGAGAAGGATATCCCCAAAACAGCTTTTAGAACTCATGATGGTCATTACGAGTTTTTGGTTATGCCTTTCGGCCTAACTAATGCTCCCTCGACGTTCCAATCTTTGATGAATGATCTCTTCAGACCATACCTTAACAAGTTCGTTTTGGTGTTCTTCGATGATGTGTTGATTTATAGCAAGTCAGAAGAGGAGCATGCTCGTCACCTGGATGCAGTGTTGAAGGTTTTTGAGCAGCACAAATTATTTGCTAACAGGAAGAAGTGTTTGTTTGCTCAGAACCAGATTGAGTATTTGGGACATGTGATATCTGCGGAGGGAGTAGCAACTGATTCCGTTAAGACAGCATCAATGAAAGCCTGGCCTTCCCCGAAGAACATTAAACAACTTCGTGGATTCCTTGGCCTTACTGGGTACTATCGTCGGTTCGTCAGAGGTTATGGTTCGTTGGCGCGTCCCTTGACAGATTTGCTCAAAAAGGATAAGTTTTCGTGGTCAATAGAAGCTCAGACTGCCTTTGATTTACTCAAGAAAGCTATGGTCTCAGCACCCGTTTTGGCTCTTCCAGACTTCACTAAACAGTTTGTAGTGGAATGTGACGCTTCTGGATTCGGTATAGGGGCAGTTCTAATGCAAGAGGGACGTCCTATAGCTTTCTCCAGTCACGGTTTAACAGCTCGAGAACAACTAAAACCTATCTATGAAAGAGAACTGATGGCAGTGGTTTTGGCGATTCGAAAATGGAAACACTACTTGATGGGGAGACGATTTTTGGTTCATACTGATCAGAAGAGTCTGAAATTCTTGCTTGAACAACGGGAAGTCAACATGGAATATCAGAAGTGGTTGATCCAGTTGCTGGGGTATGAGTTTGATATCAGCTATAAGCCAGGAATTCAGAACAAAGCAGCTGATGGACTGTCTAGGATTGAATACAGTGGTTTGCAGTTGGGTGAGATCTCTTTGTTTGCGGTCACAGTTCCAGCTTCTTTGCAGATACAGGACGTATACAAGGAAATAGCTGAGTGTCCAGACATACAGATGTTGATTCAACGGGTCCAAGAGAACGATGATGGGTTGCAGGGGTACTCTGTAAGAGATGGTGTTCTGTGGTATAAGGGTCGCTTGGTGATCCCTAAGACTTCAGATTTCATTCCTACGATACTAAGGGAGTGCCATGATGGTTTACAAGGAGGTCATTCAGGGGTTCTTAAAACTGTTAAACGGATTCAGAAATGGTTTCATTGGGAAGGTATGCTGAGGACTGTTCAAGGTTATGTTTCTGCCTGTGCTATCTGTCAAACGCACAAATATTCAACGCTGAGTCCTGCTGGATTGCTACAACCATTACTTATTCCTGTTGCAATCTGGGAAGACATTTCCATGGATTTCGTCGAGGGCTTACCTGCTTCCTCAGGGGTAAACGTGATTTTCGTGGTTGTGGACCGTCTGAGCAAATACGCTCACTTCATTGGCCTTAAACATCCATTTCATGCTGATGACGTTGCCAAGAGGTTCATTGCTGAGATTGTCAGACTCCACGGTTTTCCTCGCTCAATTGTTTCAGACAGAGATAAAGTGTTTCTCAGTGCCTTCTGGAAGGATTTGTTTCGTTTGTCAAGGACTTCGCTGAAGTTCAGCACCGCATTCCACCCACAAACGGATGGTCAAACAGAGGTCCTTAACCGCTGTCTTGAGACATATCTCCGTTGCTTCGCGTCGTCTCATCCTAGAACATGGTACAAATTCTTGGGTTGGGCAGAGTTGTGGTACAATACATCTTACCATACATCCTTGAAAACATCTCCTTTCAAAGTTGTTTATGGCTGTGATCCTCCTATGTTGCTGAAGTTTGAGAAAGGATCCACAGAGAATGCTGATTTGGAAAGCTTACTTCTGGAACGTGACGCCTTGTTAGCTAGTGTCAAACACCACTTGACGCATGCTCAACAACTTATGAAGAACAATGCCGATAAGCACAGACGTGATGTGGAATTTCAGATTGGGGATATGGTCTATCTGAAGTTGCGTCCATACCGTCAACAGTCTGTGGTTCGACGGGTGTGTCAGAAACTTGCAGCAAAATACTTCGGACCTTATGAGGTTTTGGAGACTCGTTATAATGATAAGAGGAGTTTGGAGTTGTTGGTTAAGTGGCAGTCTCTACCATCATCAGAGAACTCGTGGGTACTTTGTGGCGAATTCGTGCCCAGTTCCCTGACTTCAAGCTTGAGGACAAGCTTCGTTTCGAAACGGGGGTATTGATAAGCCGCAACATCGTTACGTGAGGAGGAAGAAGAGATCGTTGTTGGGAGAAGAGTCGCGGGTAATTCAAGATAATTTGAATTGTGGAGAAGACTCTGTTTCGAACAGAGGGACCGAGAATTAAAAAAGAATGAAAAGACTCGAGCTGAAGTGGAGGGTGTGCCGTTACAAGACCGTTGAGAGTTTATATAAAGAAAAGAGATCCATTTTGTAAAGACTGAGCTTTGTATTTTGGATTGAGACATTTCGTTTTGAGGAGAATTCGTGTGGGATAGGCCAACGATTCTCGATTGATTCTTAATACAAAGTTCAATTCATTGATTCGATCGTTTTCTTGTACTTGTGATTGAGTTTGTGAAGTTACAGGATCTAAACTCTATCATTTCCATCAACCTCTTAATTTCTCTTTAGTCCTTCTCTTCTTGGGAATCTCGGTTCAGAAACAAGCCACGCATCTTCTCTTTCACGAGAGTTAAAAGGATCTTTAATCTATCAACTCAGAGTTCCTGTAAGCTTCTCTCAAGAAAACAGAATAGAGAATCTAAATTCCAGTAATATCCTCCCATCAACAGATATCATCACACGTATACTCAGCTTAATAAACTAAAACATTTTCGAGCTCATTCTTAATCAGTTTATCTCAAACACACCTGGATACTTCCAAAGCAAAGCTATAAAACGACTACGTTTCTTCAAACCTAGATCTCTCCTGCACTTACCTAACCCTCTAAGTGACATCATCCTATCAGGTTGACTCACAAGAATTTTCCTAATGTTCACAGCAGCTCAAGGTCAAGGGTTTTCCGCGAAGCACTCCTAAAACCTAGCTTTGTTTCCCAAAATCAAGCCTTCCCCCATAAACTGAGACCTCGCAGCTCGAATGAGAAACATGATTTGACAGAAAGGTACGATCTTTCATTGAAAGGAGAGTAGAGAGACGAACAAGGGTTCATGAGCAGAAAAGCAGAAGCTTCGGCTCCATGAGTGAGACTTAAAAAGCCTGTGAATTTCTTTAACCTCTTGATGCAGCTCTGATATCCTCTTAATAGGTCTTGAACGTCTCTCACTCAGACCACAGACAAGGGTAAAGCGGTAATTATAGCATACCAAAGACCGATCTCTCTTTACGTAGCAAACGATGTCGTTTCAGTAGGTCTTGAACGTAATACTAGACCGGAAAGAAGGGTAACTATGTATTTACCCTAACCAAAAACAATTTTTAAATAACAAACGATGCCGTTTTAGTCACCGTTGAACTTCACGAGCTCGATGGCGAGGAGGCGAGAGAAACGTTCACCGGCGACGGAGAGTTCCGAACGTCGGCACAAACGAGACGAGTCAAAACCTCGAGATGGAGAACCAGACTCCGATCGGAGACTCATCACCATATTTGTGGTCTTCTTCATCGTGATCCCCGCAGTCTCAATGGCCGTGTACAAAGTCAAATTCGATCATCGAGTCATCGAAACGGAACCATCGTTACGTCAAAAGGGAATAATCAAAACCGATATCCATTTCCAAGAGATCCTCACTGTGAGTTGTTGCCTTACTGTCTGAGAATCCAATTGAAGAAATGCTGAAAAGCTTTAGGGATTGAGTTTTGGTTCAGGAACATTCCAAGGCTTCGGAGAATTCATCAGTTAGGCATTATGATTATCCAGTGTTAGCTTACATTACGCCGTGGTATGTTTCTCCAGTTTCTTGGAACAGTTTTCATATGTGAATTTGTCTCTTATTATATGTTACAAATGATGTGAAAGGAACTCTAAAGGATATGATATGGCAAAGATGTATAACTCCAAGTTTACGCATTTATCACCGGTTTGGTACGACCTGAAGAGGTACTCTCGAAATGAGTTTTATGTGCTTGCATTGCATTTATCTTCACGTTTCCTGAAGAGGTATACATATTTATTAGTAGTCAAGGAAATGGATTGGTTTTGGAAGGGAGACATAATGCTGATAAGGGATGGATCCAAGAGCTTCGATCTAGAGGAAATGCCATGGTACGGTAGTTTAACCAATACTTCCAGTTTCTTTTCTTCTCTGAAATGGCCGGAGAAGGCTGTTTCTTGATGTGTTTTTCCTTCTGGATTTTGATTCCATGTCATGTAGATATTACCAAGAGTTGTTTTAGAAGCAGTTCCCGAGACATTGCTTAGGAAGAAGAAGCTAAGGACAAAAGCTATTAACCTTATTGTAACAGAGTGCAAGTAAGGGTCTCTCGAAATCTAGAATTCGTGTCAGGTTCAGTTTGATTATAGAAGGCACCCGTGTCAATTGTCTTCATATTTTACCTTGTATTCTAGGGATATGGAATTTGATGGTATTGTGCTAGAGTCTTGGTCAAGGTGGGCAGGATATGGTGTTTTGCACGACCCGGACATGAGGAAAATGGTACTGTCTCCTGTACTCTTCTTTAGACCCGTTAATCAAATCGCATGGTCCCTATTCGTTTAACCTTACATGGGGTTTGTGTACTCAATCTTCTAGGCACTGCAATTCGTAAAACAACTTGGAGACGCCCTTCACGATCAGCATATGCAGTTCATGTATGTCATTGGTCCACCTCGTTCAGAGCAACTCCAAATGTACGATTTTGGGCCAGATGATCTTAAATTCTTGAGAGATTCGGTGGATGGCTTCTCTTTAATGACCTACGATTTCTCAAATGCCCAGAACCCTGGCCCCAATGCTCCTCTCAAGTGGATAGAACTCACCCTCAAACTTCTACTTGGTTCATCCAACAACGTAGACTCAAACCTGGCAAGAAAGGTTCTTCTTGGTATCAACTTCTACGGCAATGATTTTGCAATCTCTGGAGGTATATAAAGCATCCCAACTTAGTTAAGTTGCTTGCTCTCTCCCCGATTCTATCCCAAAATAACTGAATAAACTACCTTCTTTTGAGAAATATTCAGGAGATGGAGGTGCTATCACCGGAAGGGATTACCTAGCGTTACTCCAGAAACACAAGCCAACGTTGCATTGGGATAAAGAAAGTGGTGAGCATATTTTCATGTATAGAGATCATAAGAACAACAAGCATGCTGTTTTCTATCCGACATTGATGTCAATCCTTCTACGGCTTGAGAATGCTCGTCTATGGGGTATTGGCATTTCCATCTGGGAGATTGGTCAAGGTTTAGATTATTTCTTTGATCTTCTGTAAGTTTCTCAGGTTGCATCATGTCATCTTTTTTGTTAACTTAAAACAACTGCTGAGAAATTGAAATTAGCCACTATGCTCTGTTCTTACACAAAGACATGATCAAGAGACATTCACATATCGGAAATGTGACGTGCCAATCAAACAGTGGCTGCAAATTGATTACACAGTCCACGTCAGCTTACTATAAACAGCGTTCATGCTTGTCCTCACACCTTTTCCTTACTCTCTCCAAAAAGTTTGATGATAAAGAGAGGACAACTCTTGGTGTAGGAGGAAGATAAAGAGAGCCATGGAAGCTCTGAAAACCGCTAGCTTTAGTCCTATGTCGGTTTTTCTTGAGAAGAGAGCAGCAACACGAAAGCCTTTCTCTTTCCGTACTAGCCTCTTTCCACCGAAACCAATCTCCCAAGAGATCTTTCTCAAGAGCTTCAATGGCAGATTGGCTCTCTTAACCTCTGTTCTAAGCAATGCAACAGCTTCTGCTATATCCCTATCGTACGAGAGGAAGCTCTGCAACAATCAGTGACCTCTCCTTCATCTTTTGATTCAGACGGCTTCATCAATGGGATATCAAGTTTCGTCACTGACAATCCTCTTGTTATTGCGGGTGGAGTTGCTGCATTTGCTGTTCCCTTTGTTCTGTCTTAGGTTCTGAACAAAGAGCCCAAAACTTTTGGGGGTTCAGTCTTCGAAGAATGCTTATACTAAGTTGGGTACTGATGAAAATGCTCGGTTTCTTGACATAAGAGCTGCTGCTGATCTCAGACAAATGGGCAGTCCTAATATTAAGGGTTTAGGTAAAAACACAGTGTCTGCTGTTTACAACGGAGAAGACAAGCCTGGTTGCTTGAAGAAGCTTTCCTTGAAGTTTAAAGATCCTGAGAACACCACTCCTTGAAGTTTACAGATCCTGAGAGCACCACATTGTTCATTAAGGCTCTCGGAACCTAAAAGTTTCTCTCCTTTTTTGGATAGGCTTGTAGCATTCTTATAGTGTCTGATCAGTGAAGCAGAATTAGTCCATTCAAACTTGAGAGTAGTGAGTGAACATCATGATTGTTATTGCACATCTGATACAATGTTGCAGTTGGAGAGAAACTAAGAAGCATTTAGATTCCACACATTGTTTTCACTGCCAGTAGTTTAATGCAGTCTAGTTGTTTGAATGGAAAGCCAGGTTTGATGGAAACTCCGAGCTTGTTACTGAATTGGGTGGCCCTTAATGGATTAAAGATGGCGCAGAGGGACCTAGAGGCTGGTTGGTGTGTGTTTCTCTCATTATCATTCCACAATGTTCGCTATTCAGGATTGTGATGTTTTTCTTTTTGGAAAATGATTAAAAAGGGAGAAACATAAATGTACAGGATAGTTCTGATGGTGTCTCTGTTGCAATTGGAGTAGCTGCTGCTGCTGGATTATGTGTGTTTAGCATTTACAGAGGTCGGTTTCTCTCTTTCGTCTTCGATCTTTGTCTCCAGAAGATGCTAAAATGTTATCTATTTCATCATCGCAACAGATTGAAACCATACTCCAACTACTAGGTCCAGCTGCACTTGTTCAGCTTGCAGGCAAGAACCTTCTTCACGGCTCTTCTTTCTCCTTTGATTCAGTTTTAACTTGATTTCTTAGAACTGGTGATGTGTTGATGTTTCTATTCTATTTATATATCGTCTACAAGACCGAAAGCAAACTCTGAAACAAGTTGATGAGTTCTTGAACAGAAACACAGTGGATGAATCAGAACCTGAGCTAGAGCCAGCAATCAAAGCCCCCACTGCACAAGTAACCTCAGAGCCAGCAATGGAAGCTGCTAGTGCACAAGTAATCACAAAACCAACCAAAACAGAAGCCAAACCGGCATTTTATTCAAGACCTCTTTCTCTATATGCATCGGTGATATTTCTTCACTCCCCTGAAACTTCTCTAACATAATATAAGACAAAGAAGCTATAATTGGTGGAACAAGGAAGAAACTTTGTAATCTAATGTCTCTCTTTCTCTTCTTCACTATTTTTTTTTTGCAGTACCCTGACTTGAAGCCTCCAACATCTCCGACACCATCGCATCCATGAAACAGAAGAACAATATTGATCGAATGAATCATTGTAAACTTCTTTTGTCTTCTTCAAGAACTTAGATGCTACCTTATGTCGGATCTGACAGAAATGTATTATGTTTTTTTTTACCCCTTTTTACCTCCATTGATAGGCCTGCGATTTTAAACCAAACCAGTCTGAACCGAGCCGAACCAAAATTTTCGGTTTTCGGTTCGGTTTTGGTTTTGAATTCGGTTTAGTTCCGTATGATTCTGAAAACTAATTCAAAAAAAATTAAAATTTAACAAACCGAAAATAACCGAAAAACCGAACCGAATTAAACCGTAAAAACCGCAAATATCCAAACTTAACCGACTTCACCAAAAATATCTGATTTTTTTGGAAAATTGTACCGAAATTAACCGAAAACCAATAAAATTGATTATTTTTGAAAATAATTTTTAAAACCAAAATTAACCGACAATCGAATCGAACCGAAATTAATTTGGTTAATTTCAAAATAGGTTTCAAAATTTTCGGTTAATCGAAAATCGACGGTTTGGTTCGGTTTTGGAAAACTGAAGTCGCAGGCTTAGCCATTGATGTTGTGCTGCTGTTGCATTGTTCAAATCATCGTTGACCAACAAAAAGTCAAATATATGATTTTGCGCCAACTGTTACGATAAAGTAAGAAAACGGCCTATATTCAGCCCGGTATAAAGTAGCCCGGCCCAGGGGACGAAAGGAATAGAACTAAACTTTCTCAAGGATTCCCTTAAGCAAATGGTTTAGTGAAAACTGATATATACTTAAGCATAAACCTATTTGGAATCAATGTTTTTTATTGATAAAATGCGTTCATCTTAATTATTCGGTATCTTATAACAAGTTGATGCCAATCTAGTTCAGGTTGACGTATATCCGAACCCCATAATTACTAATCATGTATCTTTATTAACTGGATGGCCTCTTTTGGGCTATGTGTAAGTTTAATCGAGAATATGTATGATACTATGAGTTAGATTTGAGATAGATTGTGCGAATAATTGAAGATTATCAAAGATCCAAGAGAGTGACCTTTTTTCAAGTTGAAATTGGATTTCTTGTATCATTTTGCTGTTTTTGCTTAACGATTTTTATGTAATCTTAAAGATCATTTTGATTAATTTAGCTTCGTTTTCATTTCACGCAACTTAAATGTTCATCCTGGTTTTCTGGCCAAAATAACTCAAGCACAGAGATATATCTTTTTCATATGTCATAACATGTCAGATAATAGCAACCCTTCATAATAACTTCCTTTTTTTGGTCATAACTATATTATCTACCATATTTGATTTGATATGTGGAGTTTGTTGATCCAAAAAAGAAAGTTGAGGGGCATGTTCAATCCATTTTCAGGTTTTCAGTATTATTATAATCAAAATATAGTAGAACCTCTAAAAATTAATATTCGATAAATTAATAATCTTTATAAATTAATAAATTTTTACTGTACCAATTTGGATCGATTCAAAATTTGACATAAATCGATAAAATAATAATAATATAATATTTTTTTCTAAATTTCTATGTAAACAGATGGTACCACTAAAATTATAAATTAATAATTTCTATGTATACATATTTTATATAAATAAGAACCTATTATTATATTGTTTGTTTTACATTGACAATGAAATTATCTTCTTTTCTATTTTGAACACATAATATATTTTTGATGGGATTTAGTAATATATATCTAAAATCACATTTAAATTTTATGCAATATATATTATATACACCAAATAATATAATAAAATTAATATAAATGTCAAATTTGTAAAAATAATGATTAATGTCTATACATTCAAATCAAATATTTTCTTATCTTAAAATAAATCTATTTTAAAATTAAAAAAATTCTAAAGAAAGAAATTTTTATAAATTAATATCTCTATAAATTGATAAAATTTCAAAGTCCAACATTATTTATTTATAGAGTTTTTACTGCAACTTGACTATCTCAAAAAGGAAAAGAAAGAAAGTTGGGATATCCATCACCACAGGTAAATGAATGCTAGTAGAAAAGATGATAAACTGGGTTTGGAAGTTTTGTCGCAATCATGCAGAAATGGTCCTCGTCAATCATGCAGTGGTCCTAAATAGGCTTTACGGCGAAGAAGGTTGGTCCTAACAACAAGCGATGTTTGAATGGTTCTGTTTTCTCGACAATATTATTTACCGACAATAGCTTTGTTTTTTCGTAATGTAATGTTTTTTTTTTGTTATGTAATGTTACAACAGTTATCTATAGGCTTTACACACTATACATAAAAAAATTTACGAGTACACTACGAATGGAATAAAAGGGAATATCCAAAGGCAAAATTATATTTAATATCTCCCTAGCAAACTTTTCCCGTATACTTTTTGAGTGCTAACGACAAATTCTCAATAAATTCCAAATTTAGTTACGGGAGGAGGAAGAGAAAAGTATTTGAAATCCGACCCGAACTCGTGGTTGAAACGGTAAACTCAGTGACCCAAAGTAAATTCGGTTCGGATTTAGTTAAAAACTCACAATTTAAAAATCCGCAAAAACCCAGAAAAACCTACTAAAACCCAAAACCTGGTGCCGGTTGAACCATTGAGTTGAACCAATAAATAAATTTTTACCTTTTTTTTAGTTTTAAATTATGTTTTTATTCTGTTTTATATTCTAAATTTCTAATTTAAAAGTTAGGTTTTCACGTTTTAGTTATTGGCATTGACGTCTTCTTCTTTAAATTTAGATTAAACTTTCTGACTTTTTATCATACATAATACCTACTACAATATTTTATCTGTGATTTTTAGAGTTTGATTAAGATTTCACTATGCCACCTGAAGAAAATGAACTGAAGGATGGTAGCGAGAACCAAAATTAGTTGATGTGATTTGGTGTTAGATTATTTTGTTATTGATAATTTATTACATTGATGTTTTACTTTTGGTTTATTTTGGATTTGATGTTTAATTTACTATTCTCATTAGACATTTAACTATTTATGAATTTTATATTTTGATTTTTAGATGTCATTACTCTTAACTTTTTATAAAAAAAGTTAATAAACTAGTTTTCGATATATTTTATATTGATACATTTTATGTTTTAAAAACTATTAGAAAATATTTAACTTTAGTTTCTATATTTTTATTTTCATAGCTATTATATTATTATATAATAAAGTTCATTTATTAATCCGTAGTTCACCCACGGTCGATCCAGTGGCCCAATAATCCGGTAAGTCGTCCGGTTCAGTATTCGGGTCGGGAATCATAGAGAAGCTCACAAATCATCATTGCTTAATTTATATTTAATTTAAATTTATATCTTAATTTTTAATTTCTACAATATAAAAATATATTTTCATAATAACAACAGAATATATAAAAATTATCTTATTTATCTAAAATATAATATTTTTAATATAAAGCCGATTATTATATAATAATTTATATATCAAATATTAAAAATATGACAAATAATCAAATTACCTAAATCACGAAAAAGTTACAAATCCATCAACAAATTCACTTGAAATTTTATAATAGAAAATATATTTTCAATATAACAACCTAATACATAAGAATTAATTTATTTTCTAAAATATAATATTAATAATATAATTTTTTATTAAATAATAAATTATATAGAAAATTATTAAAACATGAAAAATAAGCAAAATTCCTAAAATCACGGAGAAGTTGACAACTAAGCCAATTTACTTCTCAACTAATAATATAGATCTTATCTTGATGTTTTTCTTAGAAAAATAGTTTTGTAGAATTTAAATTTATAAAAATAATTTGGAAATATTTATGAGATAATAATTTTTAAAGATTATCAGTGATAAAAAAATAAAATGTTTAAGAATTAAATATGATGTGTAATTGTAGGGACCAAAATGTATATAAAATATAAAACTTCAAATTTGAAGTTTTGAGTAGTGATACTTTATATTTGAAGTTTCACTATTCAAAATTTCAAATTTGAAGTTTTAGAGTTCCTTTTTGGAGTGCCAAAAATTTCGTATTTGAAGTTATAGACTGTCTTTTGGAGATGTTCTAATAATTTGATAAATGTGGTTCTACTTCCTAATCTTGTTTTTACAACGATTTTACGATGAGTTTTTCCTGGTTACATTTGAATCGACAGCAGATGGTTTTGCATGTATGACATTTTTTATGGAGAAATAGCATAAAAAATAGCATTTTCTAAGAAAACTTCGTATTTTGTGTAGAAACTTTTTAAACTTTGACTACTAAATCACAATGTTTTCACTCCTTAATCTTGATTGTTATCTAATGTCATATTATTATCAGTGTAATGTTTTTCTTGGGTTTCGAAGAACAATAAGGATTAGTTGTTTTATTTTTGAGTTAATTAGTTATTTAGTTCGTGAGAATTAAACGACCGACATGCATGAATGTTATCATGATTGTATTGGATACCAGCAAGTGAAAAACTTGACACTTAGGTGCGACTCTACTTCTCTCAACAAAAAAAGTTGTCGATCTCTTGGTGAAGGAGCTGCAGTGTACGACGCCAGCGCCTGAAACCGTGGTCGTCTCCCCCCCCCCCTCTGGAACCTGAGTAATGTGGCAGTATCATAGGCGTCCATGGGATCAAGTGGATTTTCTGGTGTGGAGATCCCTAGGTCCTATTGAAGCTCTGGTAGTTCAATGGTTTCTGGTGGAGACTCTCGGTTTAGGGCGACTGAGAGGTGCATGGATCTGCATGTTAGACATCGGGCGTCAGTTCTCGTTCGTCGAAAAGGGTGATGGTTCAAAAGATTCATTTCATCATCGTCTCAGACAGGTCTGAGTTACAAAATTGTGACGTGTGTTTGTTTGTTTGTAATCTATTTTTTTCACCGGTGAACTCTTCATATCCTCATCTTACATCTCTTGATCATAAATGTTCCTAATTTGTAGTCCCTCTGTAAACTCTATATATATGATTCTTATTTTTTGATGAACCCACTGTGTTCGATAGATTGTGAGCTCCGCAT